CGTTGCTTTCGCGCTTCTTTTCTTTTGCTCCTTTGCGAATGTTTGTGTGGGTGTAAGTGTGTGTGTGTTTGTCACCTGAAAAGCCAAGTCAAAAATGTAATTGTCGACTTAACGCTGAGAAAGCGAAATTACTTGACGGCATTAAGCGCTATTGTTTGTGTTGGCTGTCGTTGCCTGTCTGGCTGTGCAGTCAACAGATTTACTTTGTAGGAGCTCAATTATGTGTGTGCATGCGTGTGGATATTTATTTTGGGATATATTTATAAAACATATGCCTTTATGTTTGAAACACAGCAGGATATACGATGAAGGCCGTTCGAGTCCGATGATTCAAGACTTGAAGAAAAGCAAAGTAAATTTTAATGAATGACATATAGCGTAAATAAAATTCTACCAAAATATCAAGTCATCTGCAGTATGTTGAGTAATCGGTTTTTATTGACATCTTTAATAGCTAAAAACGCATATCAACGACCGCTGTTCCACAGCCAGCCCTCCGGATCTCGATTTATATATTAACAAGAGTTTTATGGCCATGAGCTCTCCGTCTAATATTTATTATTTTCTTTACTTTATAATAAAAATATTGAAACAAAATTGAATTTTTGTAAAAACTTTTTAAAATGCTTTGATAAGCTGTCTCTATAGGGCCAATTCCCTTTACTACTTTTTTGAGAACCGGAACCGGTACAAATTCCCGGCACTCCTTGGAACAGGACTCGGNTTTGCTTCAAACTACCGATGTATTTGCGTAGCTTCTCGTCATTCCATCTGGATTAACCTGTCAGATTAAGGCCGTTATCCAATGTATCGCCCAAATTTTCCGAAGGCGGTACTAAAGCGCTCTTCCTTTCTCCTCTCGCCGTTGAAAAGGCCAAGTGAAATCTTAATACCGTGTTGGAGGCACCACTCCTAGAAGTGTTCCAAATGCTTTTGCATTGATTGCATACCCAAAGGACGCAACACAACCAAATAAAAATCAAATTTTTAAAATTATTTTATCTAGTTAGACCTTTAAAATGAAATTGCTTCAATATTTAATTCAGAAAAAATATGGTGAATGAATATCAGCTCAGTGACGTTGGAATAAAGCCAATAAGAAAAGTGGTTGATGTATTTATTTTTTTAAACTTGAATCAAATATGCTTACATTCAGATGTACATTAGAGTGGTCCAATTTTTGTATGGAGGAAAAAAATGTCATCCTAGAAAACGGGGCACCCCCATTGATATTTGTAATATCTGTACCAACTTTAAATTTTCTACCGTACCCATACAAGGTATTCAATGATCTTGAAATGCCCTGCTGGAACGCTGTTAAGCTGGCAAAAATATTGGTGATTTTTATAAAAAGCCACCTTTGCCATGGCAACTGAAGCTAATGATTTTTTTTTTAGAAAATTTAAATTTGAAATGTTCTTAGGTTGATTAATATATGTACACAATACTTCTAGAGTAAAATATGAGCATCATGAGCATCCCCTATTATATAATATTATTATATTCATAATTTTTTTGGACCACTCTAATGTACATGTGTATAGATCTAATTTACAAAAGTAAGAAAATTTTCAATTCTACATAAATAAGTAGCTTTCTTTTTGTAGAAATTAAATAAGGTAAATTAGCATCACCTTCTTTAACTTTATTCCAACCCCAGTGAACACTAGGGTGGTCCAAAACACATAAGTAAAGTCGGAATTTTAATGCTCTTACCTCCTAGGAGCGCTTTGAGTGCTTTTTCGGTATAGAAAAAAGCCTAGGGGTGAGATCATTAAAATTCTGAATTTTCCGTTTCTACTATGCAATTTTCGACCACCCTAGTGAACACATAAAGCTAAGGGGGAACAGAGCAAAGGAATAGTATATGTAATCAAATTAAATTGCCGGCAATTTTTCATTGTACGACACTTATGCGTACATATTTACATACATAGTATAGTACATGCATGTATAAATCAAATATACGAATGTAATTAATTGCACTGGAACTTATCTGTGCTTAGATATTTAAAAGCTTTACACAAATCATTCATGCAAGCGATACAGAGCACCAAATGTGAAACGCTGGTGAAAACTTTTAGTTTGTTCGTAACAATTCTGGTGCTTACAACAGTGAGACAATTTTTGATTAGTTACATTAGCGCATTCTTTGAGAATATACAGAACTCAGATCAAAATAAAGACGAATGCAAAAATGCCCACCGAAGTAGAGGACAAAGAAAAATTCAATGCCGACGAACTGAAAGCGCCGGAATGGATAAACGACGATTTTTTTCTAAAAGTCTTGTCGAACTGTGAGGGGAAAACAAGCGAAGTGAAAATTAAAGACGTAAAAATTTCGCCAGCTTCCATGAAAGGCGATCACTATGCGAGTGTAATGTTTCGCGCGCAGCTGCAATACGAATTGGATGGCGAGTGCAAGGCGAGGTCAGTGATCTTGAAGACAATGCCCGAAACGGAGGGCCACAAGAAAGAAATGCTTGGCAAAACAGATATTTTCGAAAAGGAGATTGCCATGTACACAGAAGTGATGCCACGATTTGAGAAAGTTTTGCGCGACATCGGCGATGATACTAAGCTCAAAGCGCCGTAAGTACATTTTGGTGAGCAAATTAAATTATATTTTTTTTTTGATTAAGTTTGGTTTGATATTTACACTTGCAGTTGCTTATATTACTCTTTAGAGCCGAAGCAAGTGATTGTTTTCGGAGACCTTGTCCCCGCTGGCTATGAGGTGGTGCGAGATCGCCCATTAACCGAAGATGAAGTAAAGGCAGCCTATGCCAAATTGGCGAAATGGCATGCCATAAGCTACAAAATCAATTTGGAGGTTAGTTAAGAAAAATTGAATATATACATATGTATGTGTATTAGACCGTACCACCTTACATGCACACGAAAAAAGGTCGCGTACATCCCCGACTCTGAAGTATTTTTGCAAAGTAATCTCGAATAAAAGTTTTATTTTGTCTTTGGCCGGACTTAGTGGTCGCCTTTTCTAATTTTTTTCTGTGACACCTACATTCAGCAATAAAAATTTTTTCTTTAAATAGTTCTACTGGAATTACTAAAATACTTCTTAGCAAAAGTATAATAATTTTTGGCGAGCTTTAATTCGCTTACATTAAGGTGGTGGAAATCGAGATATAGTGGATAATTACTGCAACGGTATAATTTTGGTCAATGAATTTTGGAACAAAGAAAGGCCCGTAATGCCGAAGATATGACGAAAAATGTAAAAAAATGCCTTGTTAAAATACTTTGGACTCAGCGGTGTACGGCGAAATTTTTTTCTGGTACGTTCAATATTTGGTTACGAATCTTCCTGCAGGATCCGCATTATTTTGATAAATTTCAACAAGGTATGTTCAACATGTCCATAGCGAAAGAGGATCTCATGACTGGTGGTATAAAACATT